CTCATCCATCTCCATCTCCATCTCCGTCTCCATCTCCTCCTCCTCCTCCTCCGCCTCCTCCTCCTCCTCCGCCTCCTCCTCCTCCTGGGTCTCCTGCTAATCCGACGGCGTCGTACCGCCTCTCGCTCTGGACCCGCGAGCGAAATCCTTCCAGTGTAAAGCTCGCTCTCGAGGAGGCGTCCCACTCCCTGCTGCCCTGGGAATGCGACGGACGCCCGGGAGCGCGGCCCCTGACCGCAGTTTGTCCACTGGGGCAGAGTCTCCGGGCGGGGTGAGGCACCTCCACAGTGTGCCCCCTGGCCTCCGCCGCCGACCTCTGGCTGCGGCAAAGATTCGCCAGGCGGGCTCTCGCAGCAAAACCTCCTCCTCCTCCTGCTGCTGCTCCTCCATCATCATCTCCTCCTCCATCTCCTCCTCCATCTCCATCTCCTCCTCCTCCTCCTTTTCCTCCTCCTCCTCCTCCTCCTCCTCCTCCTCCTCCTCCTCCCCTTCCTCCTCCTTCTGCAGCCGGCCTCCCGCTCCGCAGTCCGCTCAGCAGCGACGGTGAAAACGCGGAGCCCTGCGCCACCATCAGGGTTACGTTCGCGCGGCGTCGGCGCGCGCAAAGGTTGTTAACACCGCGTCGATCGTTCACCCTTGAATTCGGTTGGGTCCACCAGCGACTCCGCGTCGCAGAATTCACCCTTGAACATCTTCGCTGGTGTCGCTGGCGAGCCAACGCCGCATGATCCGACCATTCGTGGAACAAGAAGTCTCCCAAGATGCCCCCCAACGGGGCCCAAGAGGCTCCCAAGAGACTCCCAAGAGGAGCCACGAAGGGTTCTAGATTCTAGAGCGTCAGTTTCGTCGTCGTCGCCGCCGCCGTCGTCCCCTTTCAGGGTCGGGCCCTGCTTTAGAACAAGGGCATACCTGAACGTCAGTCTGTGATTTTGAAAACTTTGAAGGGGCCCCAGGACACACAAATAAATACACACACACATAAAAGTATTCCCCATATTTTCCTGGTTTCTGTCTTCCCCCCCACTTCCCATATTTTCCCATATTTTCTTGGGAATCGAGGATGAATCCCACCAGCCCTCTGGGCGTAGGTGGTTTAGGGAATTTCCTCTTCCACCCCTCCTTCTTCCCCTTCGGGAAGGGGTTTACCCCTCCCCCTAATCCCCTCCCCTGGACTTGGACGGGGGGGGCCGCTGGTAGTTAGAGCGTCCAAAACGGCCTCGGCGAGGAAGCCAAAATCATCGGTTTTACTAGGGTTTTGGCCGATTTTGGAGGCTCCCGAGGGGGGAGGCTAATTGAGGGACCCCCTTCCTTTGATCGATCACCTCCAAGATGGCCCCAAGAGCGCTCCCAAGGCTCCCAAGAGCGCCCCAAGAGGGCCTCAAGAGGCGCCCAGGAGGCCCCAAGAGGCGACCAGGAGGCCCCAAGAGGCCTCCAAGAGTCCCCCAAAATACCCCCAAGAGGCCCCCAAGAGGCCCCAAGAGGCTCCCCCGAGGCACCCAAGACGGTCCAAGAAGCTCCCGGGACCGCCAAGAGGCCCCCAAGACGCCCCAAGAGACCTCAAAGAGTATCCCAAGAGACATCCCAAGAGACTCCGCGAGGCATTCAAGAGGCCTTTGACTCTTCTGATCGCCCTTATCCTCCTCTCCTCCTCCCCCTCATATCATCACCATCATCATCATCATCATCATCATCATCATCATCATCATCACCATCACCATCACCATCACCATCACCATCACCATCACCATCACCATCGTCAAGACCACCACCATCATCGTCATCATCAGCATCATCAATATCAACATCAACATCATCATCCGCCTATTCCTCCTCCTCCTCCTCATCATACTACTGGCCCGAACCAATATCGCAACACCTCCGTGCGAGCCGCCACCTTCCGATGCTTCAAACTCGCTCCAGATGCCGTGATACTCCAAGTCCGCCACCTGCCTTTGAACCTCAGCAACACGATCACCGACACAATGGTGTTCTTGCGTAGCAAAATTTTTGCCCAACGGCTTCTGTACTGAGTACTCAATTAAAGAAAACACTCCACTATAGTTGACCGCGCCGAAGGCGGCCATATCCGCACAAGCAGGCGGCTGCACCATATTCTTGGAGTCAATCATGTACCCGGCACGTTGCAACTTTCCTGAGACACCCACCTGCTGCAACTCTACTTTATCCCACAAGTGAACACCTGGTTGTTGACTGCATCGAGGACATTGTCGACACCCAGTAACTTCTTGCCAGTGCGACGCGTCCAACTGTCGATTCCTCGATGATCGTCGCCAATCGTCAGGAGCACGCTCACGCAGCAGATCACGAAACATGGTGAGAATAGCATGCATCTGTCTCCAATGTTCAGCCACCATGATCTCCCGCTCGTACGCAAAAAAACTGAGAAACTGATACCTGCCATCACGCGCTCGATCCAAAGCCCGAGGACAAGTATCAGTAATAAGTTGAGGACTGAGCGGTCGCTCATATCTTTCTTGTAAATTGTGCGCACCAGCTGCTCACGCTCAGGATGAGCGAGGTGGTTAGCCAGAAGCGCCTCGAGCCACTCTTGCCAGACGGTGGGATCTTGAAACTGCTCGCCCCGAGCATCCAAATTCCGTCTGGACGCATACGTGTACAAATTACTGTTCAGCTCCACTCGTGGGTCAATCGTATTAGGATGACTGCACATCGCTTGCTTCGAACCAGTCGTCGCAACTTATCATGTACAATCATCCTCCGTCTCCTCGTCATCATCACCACCACCAGCACCATCATCAGCATCATCATCAGCAACATCATTATCATCAGCAACGGCAGCATCCTCATCATCATTAGCAGCATCATCAACAACCTCATCAGCATCGTCATCATCAGCAGCATCAGCATCATCATCATCAAACTCGGCATCATCATCAGTATGGTCAGCAGCAGCAGCATCAGCAGCAGCAGCAGCATCAGCACCACCATCATCACCACATTCTACCATCAGCATCGTCATCAGCATCATCATCATCAGCATCATCATCGTAATCAGCATCGTCAGCAGCAGCAGCAGTATCATCGTCAGCATCACCATCACCATCACCATCATCATCATCATCGCCATCATCATCACCATCTTCATCATCATCGTCATCATCATCGTCATCATCACCCGCAGCATCATTTTCATCGTAATCATCATCACCATAATCGTAATCAGCATGAGCATTATCATCATCAGCATCAGCATCAGCATCAACATCAGCATCATCATCATCATCATCATCATCATCATCATCATCATCATCATCACCCTCATCCTCATCCTCATCCTCATCATCATCGTCCTCGTCCTCGTCCTCGTCCTCGTCACCACCACCACCACCACCACCATCATCATCATCATCATCATCATCATCATCCTCCTCCTCCTCCTCCTCGTCGTCTTCACCACCCCTCCCCAATCCTCCTCTTCCTCTGCCTCCTCATCCTGCTTACCCTCGCTCCTCCCCCTGGCCTCCTCGTCCTCCCCATCTTCCACATTTTCCTCTTCATGCTCCTGTCTTCTTTTCTCTTGTCCTCCTCCTCCTCCTCCTCCTTATCCTTCTCCTCCCCCTCCCCACTCGCTCATCCGCACCCTCCTCACCCCCACTCTCGTCCTCCTCCTTCGTTTCCCTCCCTCCGTCTTGTCGAGTGGAAAGGCGACGGACGGACGCATCAGCGGCCAACACTTGCCTGCCCGATGCTCGTCGCCATCATCCCCGTCAGGGTCCTCTTCCTCCTCCGTCTCCTCCTGGACCTCCTCCTACACATCCTCCCTCGCCCTGGGAGCCGCTGCCGCCCGAATCGGCTAGTAGACGCGCTCGCCCCGCAGTGGCTGGAGGGGGGAAGCCGGAACGAGAAGCGAGGGGAAAGAGCAGGAAGACAAGGGGACGACGAGTTCGTCGGCTCTCGTCGGCTTCGAGGTTCGAGGTCCCCGGAGGTTCTCTCTGGTCCTCGTGGGCTTTTGCCCGCCCCGGGGTGTTCCAGCACCTGGGCCTCCCCGATAGTGTGCCTGGGGTACCCGGATCGTCCCGAGCGGCCGCCGGAGAGCCGAGCCATGACCGGAAAACCAGGGGGCAAAGACGAAGCGAGGGGATAAGACGAGGACGAGGGCGAGGGCGAAGACGAGGAGGTCGAGGACGAAGAAACAGGGACAGAGAGGAGACGGAGGCCAAGGACAAGAACGACGACGACGACGACGACGACGACGACGACGACGACGACGACGACGACGGCGACGGCGGCGACGGCGACGGCGACGACGACGACGGCGACGACGACGAGAGAATGAGGAGGAGGAGGAGGAGGAGGAGGAGGAGGAGGAGGAGGAGGCGGAGGAGGTGGGAGGGGGGGAGTAGGAGGAGGAGGAGAGGAGGAGGAAGACCACGCGACGAGGAGACGGTAGAAGGCGGCGCAAGGAGGAGGGGAAAGGCGGAGGATGAGGAGGAGAGGAGGAGTAGGAGGGGAGGAGGAGGAGGGGGAGGGGGAGGAGGAGGAGGAGGAGGAGGAGGAGGTAGGAGAGGGAGGGGACAGAGGAGGAGGCGGAGGAGGAGGAGGAGGAGGAGGAGTAGGCGGAGGAGGAGGGGGGAGGGGGGAGTAAGACGAGGCTGAGGAGGAGGAGGAGGAGAGGAGGAGGAGGAGGAGGAGGAGGAGGAGGAGGATGAGGATGAGGAAGGAGGAGGGAGGAGGCGGAGGAGGAGGAGGAGGAGGAGAGGGAGGGAAAGGAGGAGGAGGAGGAGAAGAAGGGAGGAGGAGGTGAGGATGAGATGAGAAAGCGGCCCAAAGCCAGGTTCTGCTGCTGGTGCGGGCGCCCTTTGTGGGCTCACCCTCGCGCCACGCAGGGGGGGAGCACGAGCCCCCCTGCAGGCCGCGGAGGGCCGACCCCCGAGCGCCACCGCACCAGCGAGGGCTCCGAGCGGTGGGCGGCGGCCGCGCGCCCGTCGCGAGGCGCGACGCCGAGCCCGATCACGCGCCTAGGTGCCCAGCTCGACGCTCTCGACGTCGTCGACCTTGATCGGCATGACGGCCGCGCGGCGGCCCTTCCCGAGCAGCACGAGCACGCAGCCGTCCTCCACCGCGGGGTCGTAGAGCGACCCGATGCGCCCGTCGCGGAGGCGCACTCGGCCGCCCTCCTTCAGGATCCCGTGGCGCCACTGGGCCCTCGCATGGCCCGCCTCCTCGAGCCCATCCTTGACATCGGACGCGTCCGAGCGCAGAATGGGGTCGACGATGCCCTCGGCCTCCTGCCGCACGTCCTCGAAGCAGGCAGAGATGCCCACCGTCTTCTGGATCTTCTCCTCGCTCTCGATGGTGTACGCGAGGCCGTGCTTGACGATGTCCTCCATCTCCTCCTGCTTGCCCTTGAGGCCGCCGCCCTCCTCGAACGAGTTGTCGGCGATGGCCTGAAACTCATCAGCAGCTCCGTCAGCGTCAGCCGCTCCACGAACTGCAGACAGAAAGCTGTCGGCGGCACCCTCACAAGGATCTCCATTGCCGTCAGCGGCTCCTGCACGAACGACAGCGGCTCCACGAACGACTGCGACCGCTCTACGCCCGTCGGCATCATGCAGCATGGGCTCCCCGAGGCCGCACTCCATCCTCATCGGGCTGACGATGTCCTCGAGCTCCTGCTGAGCCACGGCCATCCGCGCGCCCTTGGAGCCGACGACGTCCACGAGCCCCTCGTCGCTGCCCTCGAGCGGCTGTGCGAGGCCGTTCTTCATCAGGGCCTCTGTCAGCGCGGCCTCGTCATCGTCGGTGCTCCTGCCACGCCTGGCCGCGGCGCGCGCGCGCTCTCGATGCCCACGAGCGCGGCCGCCGCCACTACCGAGGACGCCGAGACCAGCTGCTCCTGCCTCGTCGCCGCCCTCGTCGTCGTCGTCGCTGTCGCTGGCGAGGGCAGCGAACCTGGTGGTCACGACACCCTCCACCTTGCCGCTGCCGCCGCCGCCGCCGAGTGGCCTGGCCTTGGCAGGACGCTTGACACTCTGCCAGCAGTCGTCCTGCCGCTGCGGGAGCGGGCCAGCTCCTCCCACTCCGCCCGTTGGCCACCGGCTCCGGGACGGTCCGCCGCCGCCGTTCGCCGCCAGCTGCGGGCCCTCGGGAGCGCCCTCCGCGTCGGCATTGACGTCCGCCGCGGGGTCGCCACGGCCAGGCAGAGGACGGGCAGGAAGGAGGGCAGCCAGAAGCCCCACGTGACCGCCCCGCAGCCGGCGCACCACGTGCCGCCGTTGGGCAGCACCCCCTTCTCCATCGGCGGCATCACGCAGCCGTCGCTGAGTCCTTGGCTCACGAACGCGGTGCCTCTTTCAAGTACGTGCTCGCAACTCTCAAAACCCTTGAGCCAAAATGGCTTGAGCCAAAATGGCTACGGACGAAGGGAGGAGGAGGAGGAGGAGGAGGAGGAGGAGGAGGAGGAGGAGGAGGAGGAGGAGGAGGAGGGGGAAGGGGAGGAGGAGCAGGAGGGAGAGGAGGAGGAGGAGGAGGAGGAGGAGGAGGAGGTGGGAGGAGGAGGAGAGGGGGAAGGAGGGGAGAGAGGAAGAGGAGGAGGAGAAAGGGCCAACACTGTGACATGCGCCACGACTTGGGAAAAAAAAAAAAAAAAAGAGTCGAATAAAAAAAAAAAAGGACCCCGGGAAAAAAACAAAAAAAAAAAAAAAAAAAAGGCCGCCCGACACTGCAGTGGGCCCCGGCGACGCGGACTCCTTCGAGCTGGTAGGCCACGAGCTCCTCGATCTCCAGGGCCGTCTGGAGGTGCTCGATGTCCTCTGAGCAGCCCATCATCGTCGTCGTTTTTTCTT